GGGCGCGGGGGGGGGGGGGGGGGGACGGGAGATTTTGCTCCCAGAGATATAAGAAGCCGGCATTCCATTCAGCTGAAACCAGTTTCATGTGGATCTGTCCTTATAATGTGGCAGCAAAGCATCAGCATCGCAAAGAGTATTTGCAGTGCCCACGGTTGGGTGATGCCACCATGCTATAGATGGGTTCTATCTTCAGGTGTTGCTTCTGGAAACAGGTGCAAGTGGTCCTTTGACCACAAAAAAAAGGACATCTGTTTTCAGAGGCAACTTAGCTATATGAGGCCAGATATAAAAAGACGCTTCTATAACACGAAAGAGGCAGTTGCCAGCAGCAGAGTCTTTCTTTTTTTGCGGGGGAGGGGCAGTGCAATGTTCGAATTTGACTTAGTGACCAAACTTAGGTTCTCAGTAAAGCTCACATTCCCCCGTGACCACAAAACGGATGACTGCCAATTACTAGAAGAGAAGCCCCCAGCACATTTATAACACCGCTTTGCCGAGATATGGCATGACAGGTGCCCTTGTAGAGGACAAGAAGGTGTGACAATGGCGCCACCTGCTGGCTGAAAGAGGGAAATACCCCTAATTAAAGTCAGACTCTAGGAAATCTTTTTTTGTTTCTCTGCGGGAGTGGGTTAAAGGGGTATTTTAATATAAATGGGGAGGGAGGAGGAAAGACGGGGTATAAACAGACTAATTCCTGGTGATTATATAAGGCATAACTTATTTCTTATTTATTCATGTTTATTTTCAATTATTTAATTATAATTTTTTTTTCTGTTTAAATGAAATAAATTTGATGACTAGTGAGAGTGTTTCTTGTGTCTGCTGTCCCCATTGGGGGAGGGGAAGGGGGGATCTGTGTCTTCTGACGTCAAAACTTCCACCACGAAACCGCGCTAATATGTAAAACCGCCTAAGAGGGTTTTTCAAGATTTTTTGATGGCGAGTGGGCGAAAGCCGCGCGTTTGTATGTACAGAAAACGAAGAAGCAACCGCGCATGGAGGTAAAAGGCAACGCTGCATATTAATATTTTTGCAATTTGATGTGTACACAGAATTTAGCGCCGTGGGGTCATACCAGCTGCTAATTGGCGCAATTATCTGATTACATTTTTTTTAAAATGTATTTTTTTTATGTACTGAATTTAGGGCCGTGGGTTCATACCAGCTGCTCACTGGCACAATTAACCAATTATATTTTTTTAATTTTTTAATTTTTTTATGTACTGAATTTAGCGCCGTGGGGGTCATACCAGCTCCTAACTGGCGCAATTATCTGATTACATTTTTTTTTAAATATTATTTTTTTTATGTACTGAATTTAGGGCTGCGGGGTCATACCAGCTGCTAATTGGCGCAATTAACCAATTATATATATTTTTTACAATTATTTTTCTTATGTACTGAATTTAGGGCTGTGGGGTTATACCAGCTGCTAATTGGCACAATTAACCGATTATATTTTTTAAAATTTTGTATTTTTTAATGTACTGAATTTAGGGCCGTGGGGGTGATTCCAGCTGCTAAATGGCGCAATTAACTGATTACATTTTTTTTAAACAATATCCGTACTAATTTTTTTTTTAAAACACTAATTATTTTTAAAACACATCGCAGTTACCCAATTAATCTTTTTTTTTTTTTGGATTATTTTTACTTCTGTTACTATCAGTGCAATTAACCTATTTTATTTTTTAAAAACACTGCATTTAACC